TGTTGGACCTGAATACTGGTAATTCACCTACAAGACAGAAAATATGAAATAGTTAACCCATACTACCACATAAACCAGTGTCGTCAATGTCAAAACTATTCTGGTTCATACATTAGCATGCAAACTACCTCACTGACTGCATAATTGTTTAATTAATATCAATCAATTAATCAACTTATTTGTTTATCATTTTAAAAATAAATGCCAAATTTATTGTTCTCACCTGTTTTTGACCACCATGGGTTGTTGGTTTGTTTTATTTTAATAGGAGCACCAGCAAACTTAGCATATGCCTGCAAATGATATAATGTTGTACATCAGATTAGGATTATGTAACATGTGTTGTCTGTTGTGTGCAAGACAGGGACATATGAAGCATATAGTGTTGCATATGCTGTATGCTCCTATGTCAAAAATTTGTGAGTAGCATACTACCTTATTAATTGCTCTTTCACTGAGTAATTCAGAAGAAGAATGTTCCCAGACGCATTATGTAATAACAAAATCAATTTTTTCACTGGAGCCAACAAACTTGAATGTTTGTTTTGTCATTTGAAAAATACTATTAGATTGGCTGGACAGTGTATCTTTCTATTCCGGTATGCTTTTGTGCATCAATCACACAGCCTATGACGATTTTTTATTGGTCAACATTTTCCCAGAAAACCATGATCTAATAATCTGGCATCCCAATAAAACCTGTGACATCCCTGCTTCAGCTTATACAATGTAACCACAGTTTATAAACATTCAGATTTATAAATAGATTATTTATAAATAATTTATATAAGTACATGGCTTTGCTGACTCCAGCGTATTTTGGGACAACATTATTAAACATTTGATGAGTTTTTGAAGGGTTTCTGAAACTGAAACAATTGTTAAGAACCTGCTGACGAATCAGAATGATTGTGACCTCTCTCTTCATGGGGATGAATATCATTTCGAAAAGGTGTTGAACATTGACCTAAATAGTAAATATGTAATATGTTGTCTGGCAATTCAGACAGAAACATATGATATGTCAGTTTGTACACTATATAATACATGAGCCAGATTTTGTTTTTTATGTAAAGTTTGAATGTAGATCAATGTGCTGTTGAAAAACAGAGATTTGCTGTGACGCAACCCAGCAGAAGTCGATCTTAAAAAACATTTTATAAGTTCCGGAAGTTATCATATGGTAAAATGGTCTGTAATAGGCTGTGGTTTTTGAGACGAAAATGGTATTTAATCGGGTTGAGGTTTACTTCCCGGTCGCACAACCTTACTAAACTGGAAGGGGGTGGTGGTAATGACCGTGACCGCTGCCACTGTCTGCAAGTGTAATATTATGTCAATAGCTTCCACTTTAAACTCTATAATGTGGACGTTGGATAGATCCTCGTGTTTTGATTGGCCATGACCAAGACTGTAATGTAAAGTGCGGACGAAAGGATAATTTGGCACGAACTGACTGAACGAGTATGATGTCACCACTCGATGATACAGCAGACGACGTCAACATAGAACGAGTGTTGATCCACACGTGCACATCTTCGGTGCGGGATTGAATTGTTCGACAACGAAGAAAATATGATCATGTCACTATTTTGCCGCATACCAATAAGGTTGTTACCCAACGTCTTACGAGCGAATACTTACCATGACTGTAAGGCATCGTGTATCAACCGAGGGCAAGCCCCAATCTCCTTTCCAGCAATCCATCTCCATGACCGCCATTTTGAATATTAATTAGGTGGGCGCATTACTGGAAGTTGAAACTATTCCGCAAACGAGCGTTTTTTAAGTAAAACATAAGTAATCATTTTACACGTTATGTTTTCGATTTGTTAATAAAATATCGTTGTATAATATTTGCAAAACTGTGAATAACTTGTAAAAGTGTGAACAGTGGAGAATGTATGATAGGAACTATCTTGTTTACGCGTAAGGTGTCTATATTTTCTTCAGGTGTTGCAGGACAGATCAGGGGGTCGTAATCGAATCGGTTTGGTCCGGAGTTCGAGAGACATCGTGGTTCATGGCATATGTTAATAGTTTCACCTTTGGCATTACAGTGTTGTTAGTAGCGTATTTCTACAGCAGACACGCTCCAGGAAACTGGCATGGAGTGAGATCGGTTGAGGAGGCAACGCTACAAGGATGGGAATCACGAATATCTCTGCCATCTAAACGGGCCAGCAAAGTTGCTGTTGGGTAAGTGGGTCAGCTGAGTGCCAGTCAGCTGATAAGGCCTTAGATGTAATGTCCGAAAAATGACCATGTACACAAGATTTGCCGTACCCCTTTCAAAGTACTGATTATCTGCGTGGTGATACCTCCTTGCCTGATCTAAGTTGTCTCTCATCCATATGTTACCCCTGTATACATATTGGGAAGATACCTTCCTTACCTCCGTGCTAGTATACACATAGAATAGAATATTTTTTTTTCGTACATGAAGACTGGTTGAGGGAATGTTGTTTATTTTCACATTTCAAAGAAACATGCAAAAACAATAGTTTTACGTTAACAGAGCAAAATAATTCAGTGTCATGGATAAAAATTACCAGCACACATTTTTCACTGACTCTCATGAAAATGTAAGCCGCTTACTATAATAACTTGCATATTCTGACATGAGCTGGTACTCGTGATCTAGTGAGTTCAAAATGAGTGAGCAAATTGCAATATAAAACTTGAATGTATTCTACTTTTAAAACCTGCATAGTATGTCCCAACACTAAATATTGATAGTCATTGCATCTCATATAAACAAAGATTGCGACTTTGACTGTTGCGCAGATCAACAAGTACACACTGAGACGTTACCAAGCTTCAATTAGATATTTTTAGGTGATTGGAAGGTATCGAAGGAGTCACTATCGGTAATTAGTCCTATCCAGGTCAAACCTCATACTTGTGATTAGAAGAGCACATTGGGTTGTAGGAAAATCAATGTTCACCAACACAAATGTCGCACATGTGCAGCGTGACTATTCTGCCCTTTAATACTGATATAACTTACACTAAATTCCAGCAAATAGTATAAATATATATTATCTCAGTTAACTCTGTAAGCATTTTTGTCAGTCGAGGGGAAAATGATAAAATATTTTACTGGGGAAAGTAAGAATGCTGGTGGGCCAACCCTGCATAACGCATCTCAGAATGCTGGTGGGCCAACCCCTGCAGACGACATCTCAGAAGATGGTGGGCCAACTCCGCATAACACATCTCAGAAGACTGGTTGAACAATCCCATTTGATACATATGTGGACATGCATTCCAATAAATCTCACATTGTGATAATCTTATCATGTCATGACTTCTACTCTCTTCTATTATGACTTAACATCTTCTCATCATGTGTGTAAATGTTATTCTTGCAGTGTGAATGGTAACACAGATTTAATTGTATCTGGAACAGCGCTATTGAAAGCATTAAATGCTACTGCCAGCCAGGGAGAGGACCACAACATTCTTAATTCTATCCACCATCTTCAAGAGACTTTTTCACATTTTTTTGAGAAAGGAGCCGCTGCTGAAAGATACTTTGCAAATGGAGAAGTGTATAAAGAAGTAATTAAAGTTGCTGACACACTACCTAGTAAACAAGTATGTATAAAATGGGCACTGTGGATGTGTTAGGCTGTTAAAGGTATGATGTTTAATACCAAGTACTAATTTACAAACTGATAGCCATCTCAAGATTTGTATTTTAATTTTTATATACTATTCAGCGCTTTTTGATTCCTTATTCGGACAAAGTCCAAAGGCAGGTACTTGTAGATAATTCATCTCTGTGTCAATCCATGTGTGTGCATGCTACTATATTTCAGGTCTATACACAGGCATATATTTCACAATTTCTATTTTAAAGCTAATGCATCCAATTAAGGCATTTCTGTCATTTCAGAACTGGAGATTGCATGTACTGATTTCATTGAAACATGATACATTCATGAACATTGAACGTAATGCTACCTTGATACCTGTCACTTTATTTTTCATATATATTTCAAAATGATGGCCATTTTGAAACGAAATGTCTGACATGCCTTGACTGACTGCAGTCAAACCCTACACCAATGTGATATGTATCGAGTCACATGTAGCATATTGACATTCATTATTTTCTGACTCATTCTAGTTTTATTTCCAAATTGCACAATGAGGACTGTGTCATGTCAATGACTTGTTCCCTAAATAATTCCAAATCTACGATTTTGCAGTATTTGATATGCAAACACGAATATCGATTGAATTCTTCGCAAAATTAAATTTTCCATTCATTACAAATACCATAGATGATACATGTATCCAATAATAATATAAATTTTTGTCTTCTTGATAGTACTATGTTGGTGGTAATGCTGCTCTAGCTGGACAGAAAATATCATCAATTATACCAGATTCGCAGGTAAAATAAATCTACAAAAATTCAATGAAGTTGAGGGCAGTATATAACTCTACTAATACATATTGGTAATCACATGTGGCTTGAAAAAGGGGGATAACGTGCAGGGGTTTTTCCTAGAAAAAAACTGCAAGAGGGAGCACTGCAATTCAGCGGCGCCACCAAGGGGGGGGGGGAGATAAGGGTAGGTTGGAGCATTTTATGGCTTCATTGGGGCCGAAATTACTATCAGACAGGTCACAGTTGAAGACTGTGGCCACATGTGATCCCTGGTCATTCAGAATTTTATGGTTGCCAGAGGATCTGCTCCCCAGGGTAAGGGGGCGCATGGCCAGGGCATAAGGGTGCTGCGGCCCTGTTCCCTTGTTTAAAAAAATCCTTGATGTGTACAGTGCCCCAAGTGACTGATGACTGGACTCTTGTGGTAAATATCATTGGCACCACCATTTCACTTCCTGATTTATTATTAAAAATCTATATAAAATATCCTGCAAGTGAAACATTGCATGAGCGTACATTTGTTAATATCCTCGTAAAAGTCTCAATTGTACTTGTACAGGTGTTATTTGTTGGTCCAGTGGGTCCAAAACTCAAGAAATTATTCCACAAAGGAATCACAGTGCTAGAGAGCAGCATCACGCCACAAGATGAAGTCCATCTCATCATGGAATTCCCCAGAGATGAATTATGGGCAGGCCGAGCCACACCCATTGCTTCTAGGTTTATTACTTCCAATGACCAAGCTAATGGAAGAATGGACAAACTGGAGATATTTGCAGAGAGCATTAAAGGTTTGTTTCATTGGATTACATAATACTATTAATAATTAATTTTTACTGGTATTTAATTTTACTATTTTGATATTTGATCGTATTAGCTGGAGCATAGATTTATGTACCGGTATTTTCCAGTGAAAACAATATGTTTTATTTTAGTTTTACATAGGAAATTTCATTTAACAGCAAAAATGGGGAAATTAAAACCCAGTGAATAATAATTAATCAGTTAAAAAATATATTTCAATTGTGACCTGTTTTGAATTGTAGAATTTGGAGCTGACATGGTTGTGTTATCTGGCCTTCATCTATTACCCGGACAAAGTGAATCATTCTGGATGCAACGACTGGATGATATTGTCAAAGAAATCAGCAAGATTCCTCATCACATCCCAGTGCATCTAGAGTTAGCTAGTTTAGCTGACACTCTGTTTATGCAAGAGGTTATTAAAAAGGTAACCATGGTGTTTTATAATTGGATGATACAGTGATATGTGTGTAAACTGCACACATGATTCATGATGTGATACAGTGATATGTGTGTAAACTGCACACATAATTCATGTGATGTGATACAGTGATATGTGTGTAAACTGCACACATGATTCGTGATGTGATATGTGTGTAAACTGCACACATGATTCATGTGATACAGTGATATGTGTGTAAACTGCACACATGATTCATGATGTGATATGTGTGTAAACTGCACACATGATTCATGATGTGATACAGTGATGTGTGTAAACTGCACACATGATTCATGATGTGATACAGTGATATGTGTAAACTGCACACATGATTCATGATGTGATATGTGTGTAAACTGCACACATGATTCATGATGTGATACAGTGATATGTGTGTAAACTGCACACATGATTCATGATGTAATATGTGTAAACTGCACACATGATTCATGATGTGATACAGTGATGTGTGTAAACTGCACACATGATTCATGATGTGATATGTGATATGTGTGTAAACTGCACACATGATTCATGATGTGATACAGTGATATGTGTGTAAACTGCACACATGATTCATGATGTGATACAGTGATATGTGTGTAAACTGCACACATGATTCTTGATGTGATACAGTGATATGTGTGTAAACTGCACACATGATTCATGATGTGATATGTGTGTAAACTGCACACATGATTCATGATGTGATACAGTGATATGTGTGTAAACTGCACACATGATTCATGATGTGATATAGTGATATGTGTGTAAACTGCACACATGATTCATAATGTGATATGTGTGTAAACTGCACACATGATTCATGATGTGATATGTGTGTAAACTGCACATATGATTCATGTGATGTGTGTAAACTGCACACATGATTCATGATGTGATACATATATATCCACAAAGTAATGCATTCACAACCAATTCATGTTTCAATCAAACATGGATAACAGTTCGTAGATATTGCCGATGCAGTTTGTTTTGTCTTTTAATTATTATTATCTTACATGAAACACGTGTCTCTAAAGTAAAATATTATCTCATGTCAGTGTTTGCCAAACTTTGACCAAGAGCGCATGTTTATACGTTATTTACAGTACACTTGCTTTGCAAAATCATCTTTATTTATTCTACATTATATACATGGTGGATCATGCACCCTGTGATATCGTGCTGGTTTACTCATGATTTTGTCCCTTCCTGACTTGTCAAATTACTAGATCACTCAAAGATGTTGTATCACATAGATTGTCATGTAATAGCCACTAAATCTGACATGCAGTGTTCAAATATTTTCCAAGCTGATACACACACATCTCATGAAATGAAATAGGTGAAATGAGCACCCAATTTTGTTTTGTACGTGATTGCATTTTATTGTCTTGTTTTTCATTTTTGTTCAAGATTTTCACTCTGACAATGCATACTCTTACTAATTTTAGTTTTGTGATCTCATAGAATATATATGGCCAAGTTGTGAAGAATTCAAATACTCGACAAATGTCAAAGACGCTGAATTTTTGACTGGGGCCAAGGAATTTGCAAATACTTGTACCGTAATGTTATGAGATTGTATATACATGTATGCACAGAGAGAAAAGGCGAAAGTGAAATCACCTGAACAAACATTTTACTATTTTACAGATATTTCCGATTGTTAACTCGCTTGGCTTGAATGAGCAAGAACTATCTTTTGTGTCATTGGCTGGGAATGGGCCGCATCAACAGGTTATCGAATCGGAGGAAGGATTTCCGGAAATTGGCATCGTGGGAGATATCATGCACTGGATCTTACAAAGTTACGGAAAAGGAAACAAATTTGGCAAACCTTCGAAATTGACCCGTGTTCATTTTCATTCACTCTCCTTTCACATTTTGGTAACTATCAAAGATTTATGGAGTAACAGTCCATCATCTGTTGCTATGGGAACAAGGACTGCATCTCAACAAGCATGTGGGGAGACGGCTGATCTTCACGCGGAGAATTACGATATGAAAATACCTGATGCATTTGCACTGTCTGTGAACTATGCACCACTTCGCAAACAAATAGTTATTTATGACCCAATGAATCCCGTTGTGCTGTGGCACAGGGAAAATTTAGAATTTTATTTCAGTCCTGTGCTGGTCTGCAGGATACCTAGAATAACTGTCGGTTTGGGAGATTCAATTTCAGCAATGGGTTTATACTATTCGGAATTCAAACACAGTTAATGAATAACCCGGTCTCTGATTTACCTAATTTGCATTTTACTAGTAATTTTAATATATGCAAATCAATTTAAAAATAGCACCAAAATTTTTTACTGTAACCTTCCATTAATTCTATTATTGTTGGAAATGGCTGAATTGATAGTGGGTTTTAACCAGTGTTTTTTTTTAAAGTAAAAATGCGAATCTCAGGTGGTGAATTGATAAAGGTGAATTGTCAATTGAAGATTAATGGTACCACATAGTTTGAACTCAAAATATATGTCTTATTTGTATCTGATATTTACATTGGTATCTTGCAATCACACATTAGGATGTATACTGGTAATTATGTTTCAGTTGTAATTCAATGGAAAACAGTGTATACACCAGGGTCATACTTTTACGCATATATGGCAATCTTTTCTTCTATAATGTTTTTCTAAATGCACTCGTTCTGTATATATGGAAAAAAATTTTTTTTTTTATTTTTCGTGCCAAACCATAGTCTCCCACCACAGTGGAGGGACTGTGGCCAAACTTAGTAATGCTCATACTAGTTTTGTGTTTACATGTAAATATCTTTATGTCAGAAGTCAGGTTTGGTTTAGACTGTTGACAGTCCCTATGATTTAAGAAATGCAGTCATGTGTTTGCAAAATGCCAATGGCGTTTCAAGCGATGGCTATAAGGCCTGAGGGAGTGTTACAAACTGAAGACCCAGCCTTGCAATTAGTTATGCCTGCATCTGGATGACATAGTAAAATTTGCATATAGGCGGAGCTTGTCTTAATGTAAAGATTGAATCATGGGTTTTAAATGGCACGCACACATGTGCTTATCAATTTGATCGTACTGTCTCATCGTTTTCTGTTTCACTCATGCACTGAACAAAGTTGCTTTGACTGTCTGGGGCTTCTTGTTGACCTTTCACTGCAATGACGTCATTCTTTTTGTCAGTCACGTTAATACGTTACATGTGAATTACCGGTACCTTGGTGAGTGATGGCATAGTGGCCTACAACAGTCACTCTTAACTTCATCTTCTCAATGCATTACGACATTTGATTAAATCATAAAAAAAAACAGAGAATCTGTCATCAGTCAGGTCTAAACTTGTCTTTGCTAGATTAGAATTTTGAACTGGCTTAATCTAGTTTAACAGACCTTTGACCCATGACCAGCTTGTTTTTCCCATTACTATGAAGCAACTCAAGATTTATTTTTATCACAAACTTGAATATTTTTTGATCTGGGTTGATTTTTTTGCAATAAATATATATTTTTGGCTTAGTGTCATGTTTTCATTGTAGGTATAATTTTATGTTTTTAGTACATTGTATGGTCAATATTGTCAATAGATTATATAATACGTCAGATTACTAGTATTCCTCTTGTATGTAAATAATCATAAAAAACAATTGCTGTTCTTGACAGTACTGTATTTCTTAGGGCATTGAAAAATATTTTGTCTAATAAAATGGATAACTATTATAATTAAAACTGAATCAATGTGTGATCTTTTAATGGCTTGTTATTTGTGTTTTTTTAGCTCCGCTGTTGACAAAGTCGACGACTCAGAGCTCTTCATATTCATATCATTTGGTCGGTGTCTGTAGCATGTCGTCAACATTTTAGGTTTTTGTCTTCTTCAAAACAGTTAAACCAAATGCTTTTCTATTTGCAACATAGATTCTTGGGGTAGTCCTGTCAGATTTGTTCATTTCATGATATCTTCAATTCTTTAATTTTGATGAATATTTTTGGAAAAAAGTGATATTTTCGAATTCTTGTTGAAAACAAGTCCGATTGCTTTGATACTATACATATTGTTCATTTTCTAATGTCTTCAATTGAAATGTGCATTGTCAACAACAAAGCTATCTCAGCTGAGAGACTGCTTGTTGGAATATTCACGTACATTTTTAAACCTTTGTGATCCCAAAACATGACTTCTGATTAATCTCGGACCACTAAACTAGCTCATGTATACTATGAGGTTATTACGAGGATACCTCAAAGTATGCACTCAGACAGTACGCCGCGCATCGACCTCCGCTGCACGTCGATACTCCAGCTGTACTGTCTTTTGAGGTATCCTCCTAATAACCTTATTATTACACATCTTTTCCTTCCAAGGATACACCATTGGGAATGCTGAAATCCAAAATGTTTAGAACAGAATCAGCGAACTTCTTTGTGGAGTCCGGTCAAACTCGGGTGGCAGCCATGTTTTGTTTATTATTAAAGAACACTTACATGCGTAATCATTCATTTAATTACGGCATACTATAACTTAGGGTGTTACGGTGACAGATATATAATAATGTATATTATTCTATGATTAATATTTTCTAAAAAACTATTGTTAATATGATCATACATTTGCAGAAGAACCCAAGTTTCTATTCTAAATCACGTAATCCAATTTATGTGAAAGTTTGACCCGCTATGCATTGATGTGCGTTTGTCTGTCCATTAACACCTACATTTCAGACGTGCCTTGGCTGACCATACTCAAACATCACTCGTATATATCCTAAATCTCAACAATATCAATCATTTCTGCCACTCTGGATCTGTAATTTGGTTGGATGGATGGATTCACCAGTGGCACAAGTCCATTTGATGAAAGGAACCAAAATATTTACTAAAATGACAAGTGACCTTTTGAGTCTGACTTTAATTATTTCTTGCATATAATGTAAATATTTTACAAATCTAGTTGAGATTCAATAACATGCTGTAGGGCTAAGTACAATTACAGACACTAATGTTTACATAGTGTCGAAATATCTACTATAAATATTGGGGAAACCAGTAAATTTTGTACATTAGTACTTTACATGCATGACCCCACTTGTTTTAAAGACACAATTCGAAAGTTGGGGGGGGGGGGTGAGTGGGTGCTTCATGCAGTATCATCAGATATGCAAATATTATACCACTTTTTTACGGTAATTGCATGCAAATCTGGCCACCTGTTTCTAGGTGGTGAAAAACAGACTGCGATTACATTTGAAGTGCACTGAGAATCTACCGTATGATGAAGGCTTGCTATGTTTCGTCTGTTCCTTCTGTTTCACCACAATAGCCATAAACCTCATTTTCTATGCATTTTGTTGTAAGACCTATGACCTTACAGAACCAATTGCTATTATTCCATCAATAACCTTTGACCCATAGGTAATTTGCATATACAGTCCTGACAGATATGGATGGGTAACAGGCAATAACCAATGGGCTTTTGCATTGTAATCAGCCACATCACTGAAAGATGTAAGCAGTTTTTTTACTGGCTAATTAGAGACTGTAAGGTAAGCTGAACACATTTGACGACACACTGACGTTGTTGCACACCTAAAAATCTGATTTTTGGTAATCAAAATCATCAATTCTTCAGATATTACAAGTCATACATTATTTTAAAACTTTTCTTCATGCAATTCCATTCCAAATATATACATTTACAGCAACACTAGTTCTTAACTTTTTCTGCAGATCAATTCAAAACCGTCGATTATTTGATGTTCTTGAGCTCGTGCTAGGAGTTCTCCTAGGCATACCTCCGATTGATGACTGTGTTGCTAAGGAAACCTCCTCCAGAAAACTGAAAGTGATAAGAAAGATCAGCAAAAGCTTAATTTTACAAAAAAATACTTGATTAAAGTAAAAGAAATAAAGTAGTAAATAAATAAGCACTCTCCTATTTCAGTAGTGGTATTTAAAACGTACCTTTTGCAGTTGTGCACTGTGGTGCCACCAAGGACAATCCTCACCCCTGTAGTGGTTTTATTTAAATTATATACAGAAAACGCCTCCTCGTAAGTTGAACCACCAATCATAAACACAATGATGTCTTGAGGTCTAATACAAAAATAAAAACACATAAAAGATAGTTACAAAGGGGTGGTATTTGAAATTAAATGTTCACCTAACGAATAGTGGGCATGACTCTATTGTCGTCTTTGCTCTATGAGCCGCGTTATATTAAGAGAGCATCCTGGTGCAATCAAACTTTTTTACAGCAGTTTTTGAAAACATACTGCATACATATGTTTGCAATAGAGTACCGGTAGTTTATGTATGAAAAATCACTATCATTAAATTTTACGAATTGTCTGGAATAATAATTGGTGAATCAGTTCACAAAATTGTATAACCCACATAAATCTTTTCTATATTATTTCAAAAATGTTGATCAAACCATGTAGACAATAGAAATCTAACACTGAGAAAAATACATGAGAATGTAATTCCTGATGAACACAATACTAGCGTATACCCCTACCTGTCTCTGAGTTGGCTTGGTCCGAGATATGGAAAACTAGATTCTTTTAATTTTCCTTTGATAAGTTGATCCAATGTCTCTTGTAACAGCGGAGTGTGCTGAGTATAAATGTTTTCAACACCCTGTCAAAAAATAAAAAAATATTTATTTGATCAAATTCATCCCATCAAGTAAAATGACTTTGTTCAATCAAGACCCAATCAAGAAGTATTGGTATTAAATTCAAAGTTTCTAATTCAGGTTGTGGCACATAGGACTGACACTTCAGATGAATCCACAGATCAATGAGTGACAATCATATCACAGATGGTCATATGTCATGTAATTTTTCTCAATTTCACCGTTTAGCAAATTGTCCGCTGACAGGTGATGCATTTCACTAATTTGAATATGCATGCAAAAAATGCCATGTCACTTCTTCATCGGGGAGCGAACGAAAATTAAAAATTTAACAAAACACATTTATTGGGTGGATATAGATTTTGTTGTCCTTAGGGACGACGTTAAAAGATCGATGTCGGATAAAAAACTTATTTCCTTTAGTTTGGGGGTGGGGGGTTTTGAGCTCAAAAAGTTTCCATCCTACAAAAACGATTTTATTTTTTAATGAAGTTCAAAAAATCTTGAAGTATTTGTAGTTCGTTTTTTTTTTCTATTCAATCATGGACAGAAATAACCGAAAAGGGAAAAAAACAGAAAAATGGTTTGGTTCGAATGTAAATCTGTGCGTCAAATGAGGTGCATTTGTAAAATCTTTTTACACCCAACCGACAACCAACTGCTATGCAATACTACTGTCCGATTATCAATTTGTATTTAATGGGGAATGTAGTCTGACG